TTTTTTGGTTTTGGGTTTTTTTTTTTAAGAATATGAGATCGAGGCAACTTCCTGCACTGCCTCTTGGTATTTCTATTGCACTTAATTCTTATTAATATTTGCTTAGACAAATAAAAACAACAATATCTAATATATTCAGGGTTTACCAAGTGCCACTGTCCAAAATACTTCACCTGTATTACCACACTGTGTAATTTATATTCCAAAACATACCTCAAAGCCATCTGCTTCCCTCCATCTTCATTGCTAGCTACCAAGGCCTAGCCACAGCCTTGTCTGCCTAGCAACTCCCAAAAGATCTCTTTAATTCATGCTCTCCTTTCCAAACCCATTTTCCACAGAGTAGACTGCTATTTTTAAAATATTGCCTTTTAGGGCGCCTGGGTGGCTCAGTCAGTTAAGCGACTGCCTTCGGCTCGGGTCGTGATCCCAGGGTCCTGGGATCGAACCCTGCATCAGCGTCCCTGCTTGGTGGAGAACCTGCTTCTCCCTCTCCCTGTGCCTACCTGTGCTCACTCTCACTCTCTCTCTCTGTCACATAAATAAATAAAATCTTAAAATATATATGTGTGTGTGTGTGTGTGTGTCTGTATATACACACACACATATATATATATACAGCCTTTTAAACCTATGGCCTAAAAGGCTCCAGTACCTCTCAAACTTCATTTCATATCCTCGCCTCCCTTACCCGAGCCACAGCAGTTTTCTTTTCTGCTTCTGAATACTAGTAGTCTGGTCTCTAGGGTTCCTGTTTGCTCTACCTGGATTGCTCATCACCGCAGGTCTTCACCTGGCTTGCTCATTTTCATTTTTATTTTTCAAGACTTGACTCAGTTACTGCTTCCTCAGCATATCTAAAGAAATGGCCTCTCCTAGCTACTTTCTAGCCCATCACCCGGTTTACTTCTTTCCTAGCACTCAGCCATGTTTTCTCATTCCTGGTGTCTGCCCAATAAAGGAGGATGATACTATGTCTGTCTTCTTCAGCAGCACAGCACCAGCAACAATGCCTCAGACCTCTTTGCTGAACTGAACCTCACTCACTAAAAGTTAGGAGGAACATAGTATAGTTAGCCTCATTTTACAGCTATAAATCCTATCATTAACTTGAACTACATAGAATCAGGGTGTCAGCCTGCCAGAATGATCTTTTGTTAGTTCTTCAAAGGGGGGGTGGTGGGCACAACAAAACAAAATTCTTGTCAGATTAGAGACAAGAGTAAAATACAAAAATTTAATTTATACTTTTCACTTAAAGCTACACTTCTATTAACCTCAGATTTAAGCAAAAGCATGTGTCCATTAATTTGGTATACTGTATTTAAAGGAGAATCCTCCCATCTCAAATTTTTGCCAAATGAGGCAAGGCATAAATATATGAAAAATAAAGTAAGTGTTCTATGAAAAGTCAGAGAAACTTAAAAGGAAATATTTATTACAGAAACTAAGTCACATTTTTACAATATAAGAGGATTATGTTTATTATAGATTGTTTGAAAAACACAGTTAATAAAAAATTTTTTCTAGAGAAACTTATTGTTAATATCACAGTATATATTCTTAACTGTACTTTTTTCTAGTTTTACCTAATAGTATAAAAGCATTTTCCCCAAGCGCCTGGGTGGCTCAGTTGGTTAAGCCACTGTCTTTGGCTCAGGTCATGATCCTGGAGTCCAGGGATCGAATCCCGCATCAGGCTCCCTGCTTGGCAGAGTCTGCTTCTCCCTCTGACCCTCCCCCATCATGTTCTCTCTCTCTCTCATTCCCTCTCTCATATAAATAAATAAAATACATATATTTAAAAGCATTTTCCCCATCACTAATCTTCTAAATTGATTTTTTTAATGTTGTATGTATCAACAGCCCATAATAAAGGCACCATAATATATTTAAGTTTCCAACTCCCTATAACTATAAATGTTATCAATTTATTACTATGAATAATGAACTTGTGCACACATTATAATACCCGTCTGATTATTTCTTTATATAGTTTTAAATAGAATCACTAGGGGTGGGGGGGGCAGCACCTGGGTGGCTCAGTTATTTAAGTGTCTGCCTTTGGCTCAGGTCATGATCTCAGGGTTCTGGGATTGAGCCCGTGTAGGGCTCTGTGTGGAGTGTGCTTGTCCCTGTCCCTCTGCTCCTCCCCCACAACACCCTCCCCAAGCTCTTTCTCAAATAAATAAAAGCTTTTAAAAAAATAGAATCACTGGGTCAGAAAGTATAAACCTTTAAAGTTTTGTTTTTGTTTTTTTTTTTAAGATTTTACTCATTCATTTGACAGAGAGAGAGCACACACATACAGGTGGCGCAGCAGGCAGAGGGTGAAACAGGCTCCCAGATGAGCAAGGAGGATTCGGGGCTCCTCGATCCCAGGACTCTGGGATCATGATCTGAACCAAAGACAGAAGCCTGACTGAGCCATCTAAGCACCCCTAAAGTTCTTTTCATAAAAGAATAACTGACCACCAGAACACTGAATTATATGTCCCAATCAATAGAAAAAGAGAGTTCCTGCTTTCCTGCACCCTCAATATGAGTTATCAATATGAAAAAATAGCCAATATGAGACAGGCAATGAGTAGCAAATCCTTAAGCTTTTATTTCTATGCTTATTGGTAAGTATGGTACATTTTACATCTTTATATGCCATCTGAACTCCCTTATGAACTCATTCATATCCTTCACCCATTTTTTTTTTAAACTGGAAGATACACTGGTATGTAAGAATTCTTCATAAATTAGGGATACTAATTTTATAACTGCCCTGTCCAGTACAGTAGTCACTATTCACTGAGCCCTTTAAATGTGACTATTCTGAACTAAAATGTGCTAAATGTAAAATATACACTGGACTTCGAAGATTTAGTACAAAAAGATGATGTAAAATATCTCAAAAATTTGATCTCGATTACATATTTAAATATTTTTAAATATACAGGATAAAATATTAAAATTAATTATTAAACTAAATATTAAAATTAATTATCTGTTTTTACTGTTTCACATATGGCTATCAGAAAACCCAAGATTACATACGTAGCTCATGTTATCTTTCTTTTGGACAGCAAGGCTCTACAATACTATTTTCCTTTTCACCTTTAAACTGAGCTTTCAGTGTATAGGCATTTCTCATTTTTAAGTATGCAGATAAAGCAAGAGTTTCCCTTAAGGTTTCCTTCTCTCCTTATTCTTTGTAAGTCTACCCCCTCTGCCATACAGGAATTTTAGAAGCATATATTTTATTTCTTGACAAAGAAAAACATCTGTTTTTAGATTTTTTTCCCCCGAAAGTTTTCAGGTATCACTTTTTCCTTTCATACGTCTGACTTAAATAGTACCCTTTCCTAATGCTTTTTAAATTTTACCATAATGGCTGTCCTTTTAAAAACTGTTTCAGTTATTAGTGGAACTACATTTTCACAAAGGAGGTTATTTTTAAAACCTACTATGTGTTAAGTGTGAAAACACATTTTAATTTTCTGGTGATAAACATTCCAAAGAACTTTGCAAAGTCATTCTGACCAAAGAAATAGGTACTTATTATCTATGGTTCACAGACGGGTGAAACAAAGAGTACATAATTTTTGGTATGATGATGGCTATTATTGCTATATAATTACAAATTACACAATTTCAAGTCCTGTCTACCAACTTAGAAGGCAGGTTACCCAGTATACCTAACTTAAGTGTAAAATGCCAAAATTGCTTGGTAAATAGAATCAACTATGCTAGAAAGTTTAATTGGGGATTTCTGGAGTAAGGTATAATCAGAAGAATTCATTTTGTTCCTAAGAGAACCAGCTGTATTACCAATATAGAAAAAAAAAAAACTCAGCTTTTCTATCCCCACCAAAAAGTCACAGAACATGATGTTAAAATTAACCATTCTGAAATTTTAAAAGTTTTTACATTTACTGCAAATAAACGATACTAATATATTCTCAATTATCTTCACAGTACAAGTGTGATTATAACTTGTTACTTTTAAACTTGGATGACTGGACTACAAGTTCTAACTTCTATTGCCACACCACAAACATGCTACAAGCTTTTTCAAACATGAATTTTTGGAAAATCTTATCTGTAAACACTCTATGCTATGCTCGAGAATCTAAGGAATTAGACTAGGGGCGGATTTGGTTCTGTTTTACTCTCTGTTCTCGACGGGTCAAGCTATTATGACATCCCAAGCTATGGCAAAAACATAGGTAAGCCTGACTAAAATTTACAAATTCAATGCCAAAATATTGGAAACTGCGGGAAAACTTAAATTTGAGTAAAAAAAGAATGCTTAAGGACAGGGATAAAAATTCTCGTCAACCACGTTTTTCTGGGTTACAGCTCCGTTACACACGTTTTCACCATAAAGATCGTTCAACGAAACTCAACAGTTAGTTTGCTTTATGATCCAAAACTGGATTCATTCAATGACTGTGGCATGGTCATATCCTCATACTTAAGAATGATTCGTAAATGATGAGTAGCACCCCCATCCCTCACTCCCTCCTTCCTTTTTAGGAAATTTAAGGGGAAAAGTTGGGAGAACGGGAAAAGGAGCAGGGCAAGAAAATCTGTTGAGCCAAAGGCGCTCAATGAAGGGGAGCCGATGAACTCGAAAGACCCTGGCACTTTTAGGTTTCCATAATTTCTCATTGCCTGGGGGATAGGGGCTGTCATCGCGGGACACCGCGATGCGCATGTAGCATTTTATCTGGTACAAATGGTTGGCTTCAAGTATGTGACCCGGACCGGGAGCTACCTGCCAGTTTCCGTGGGAGTTGTGCTAGGGCTTTGGGGAAAACCAGGGTCTGGGAGAGCTGTCAGAGGTCCCTGCCACCTGGGCGAGCTGAACTGCAAAGACACAGACCCAAAAGGAAGGTTCTGGGGTTGGAGAAGGGCAAGCGGCCGAAATGCCCGAGGCGAGGCGCCGAGCTCGGCCTGCTCCTCCAGGCCGGCTGCCGCGGAGTCAGCGGCCGAGGTGGGACACTCACCCTGGCGCTCGCTGGAGCCGTGGGCCGCCGCCCTGCAGCGCAGATGGAGCCGGCAGATGGAGGACCAGCTACATCTGTGGGCCGCAGTGGCGGCGGCCAAGCCCGGTAACATCCTGGCGGGGCAAAGGCCCCCACTCGGACACCACCTCCTGCCTCCGCGACGCCGCGGGGAACAACTGACTCCATAGACTGGACACCGAGTAACACTCACGCCTGCGCCGCCGTAGGCGGCCTCACTGACCCGGAAATGGTAACGGCATTTATCGGCGCCTGTCGGGCTGGCGGCGGAAGTGGCGTAACGAGGAACACAAACCCAGAGCCAGTGTCTCCGCAGACCGGGACCGGCGGCATGGGCAGGGCGTGGCTGCAGTCAGGGCTTGGTGTCCGCCGTTTTTTTTCCCCCCAGCATCTGTGTCTTTTCACTTTCGGTGGAAAGCATCGCGTAACTTGTTTTCATCTAAACGGGACAGCTTTGGGAGACGTGACAGGGACTTTTCCGGCGTCTGCCTGCTCCTGTTTTCTGAGCTCGGAACTCGAGCGGTGGTGGTGGAAATGGGAAGAAAGGTGGAAAGGAAGGATGCTGGCTTTCTTTACCTCGTTCGGAGCCTTCCTGGATGAGCCTAAGCGGCAGCTCACGTACCGAACTCACTAGTCTCCGAACCTGGCCGCAGTACTTCGTTCTCCTCTTTGTAAGACACCTTCGTGTAGCCGGTACATGAAGGCAAGTACTCACTTTGGGATCAGTATGGCCGTGCTAACCTCTGAACCTCAGATTCTCGTGTGGAATGTAGTAAAGTAAGACTTTCATGTGTTCACGATTTGCCTGAGTAAACGGAGATGTGCAGACTTCGGAGCAGGAGCCAGTCTTGGTTCTAGGGAGAAAGAGACAGGAACGATATTCCGCTTACCGCGGTGTTTACCCCTGACACGCGAGTTCAAGTCTCAGCGCAAACTCGGGAGAGGCTTTCCTTAACGGCCCTGTCTGTATGTGGTAGGGCTGGTTATTTTCTACCCGGTTGCCTTGTATATTTTCTTCAAATGCTTATCAATGTATTTTTTTTTAATTTTCTGTCTCTCAGAATCGAAAATAAGCATCAGGATACTAGAATCTTAGGCTTTGTACATTGCTTTTTCCAAAGGGGTAAAACAGTAGCTGGCACAACCAATAAATGGAGTGGAATGCATGGTCGTTTGTTTTGAAATCAGTCTGAGTAGCTCAACTATGTTACTTCACAGTAGTTATTTCAAAGGGAAATAAATTAGCATATTCCTGGGGCACCTGGGTGGCTCAGTGGGTTAGAGCCTCTGCCTTCGGCTCAGGTCATGATCCCAGAGTTCTGGGATCGAGCCCTGCATCGGGCTCTCTGCTCAGCAGGGAGCCAGCTTCCCTTCCTCTCTCTGCCTGCCTCTCTGTCTACTTGTGATCTCTCTCTCTGTGTCAAATAAATAAATTTAAAAAAAATTAGCATGTTCCTAATTTTGAGATAATCAAGTCTTTTTTGCTAATTGAGGTAATCAGATTAGTGAAGTCATAGTGATGAAATTATCACAAGAATGGTAAAGTTAACTTCTATGACAGTTTAAAAGGTTAAATGGTCAGGGTACCTCAGTGGCTTAGTTGATTAAGGCCCCACTTTTTTTTTTTTTTTGCTTAAGATTTGGTGTTTGTGTTTTGTTTTTGTTTTTGTTTTTTTTTTGACACGGCGTGAGAGAGCAAAAGGGGGGTGTGGGGGAGGGCAAGAGAGAGAGAGAGGAGCCAGATGAGGCCCAATGACAGGACACTGGGATCATGACCTGAGTCAAGGCAGACACCCAACCTACTGAGCCACCCAGGTGCCCCTAAGCGGCCCACTCTTGATTTCAGCTCAGGTCATGATCTCGGGATGGTGGGATGGAGCCCTCGCCCTCTGTTCCTCTCCTGCAGTACTCTCACCCCCCTCTCTCGAACAAAAATCTTTAAAAAATAATAATTTTACCACTTATTTGATTCCCTTCCTTCTCTTAAAAAAATATTAAGTGGACATATAAAAATGCTGTGCCATAAATATTCATAACCTCAAGATTATTCAAATACCTGCATATTACTGGAAAGTTCTTATCTCTTCCTTGTAAATAGATCTTAACAGAAATTCAACTCTAGGATATAAAATACATAAAGGCTTAGCTCTTATTTTATGTAAATATCCATTGACCTTCACTATAATGCTTACCTGCTTTGGATTCTTAAAGTAGCCCCTGGTTTCTTAACTTGGATACTGTATTAATTTTGATAAAACTTCAGAAGCCTTGACTTGCCAAATAAATTTGAGAAACACAGCAGATCATGCTGAGTTTTCTTGTTTATGCCTCAAAATGCTCTGTCAAATAAGGTCTCCATGGACTTGCATTAAAATATTTCTGCAGCGGGGCGCCTGGGTGGCTCGGGTCATGATCCCAGGGTCATGGGATCGAGCCCCGCATCAGGCTCTCTGCTCAGCAGGGAACCTGCTTCCTCCTCGCTCTCTCTCCCTGCCTCTCTGCCTGCTTGTGATCTCTGCCTGTCAAATAAATAAATAAAATTAAAAAAAATATATTTCTGCAGCTGTCTTGGTGTTTACACCTATATTGTCATTATATTCTTGTCCTACTGGACAGTCCTCAAAATTTCCCCAAGTGCTGAAAATTGAAGCAGTCTGTTTTAGAGCTCCTTAGGAGAATTTCCTTTGATCCTAAATGAGAAATCCTATCCTTACCAAGAGACTTTGCCTTACTGCTCCACTCAGACATGTTCAGCAGCTGCCTATATGTATTAAATGGATTAGATTCCAATATCATGGAGCTTATTTTCTATCAAACAAGACAGAAAATTTCAAAATAAACACAAGATTTCAAATAGTGATATTATTAGGGGTGCCTGGTGGGCTCAGTCAGTAGAGCATGCGACTCTTGATCTTGGGGTTCAGTTTGAGCTCCATGTTTGGGGTAAACGCCATGTTGGGTTTACTTAAAAAATGTTAGTAATAATGTTGATCATTTACTAATCGCCACACTCTCCATGTGCATTATCTCATTCATAACACTTGAGCAAGTTATAGATAAGGAAACTAAGGCAGAGATCTCGTTTTTAACCACGCAGGTTACTTTCCAAATCAGTGGGTTTTATCCTTTGGGTGAAAATACCGGGTCTTTCAAATATTTTGAATGACAACATGATCTTTTGTCTCCTGAAATGTAGGTCAAGAGAGCATGTCCCTACATTTCTTAATGTATGATCAACATGATACTGAACTTCAAAAAAAAAATAAAGTTTCATGAGGATTTTGATATAGATGCCTAAATATAGATAATTATTAAGTCAGAGAGATGGAAATAGAAGTAGGAAAGGAGTGAAGTGTCATTTGATTATTAGCATACACCACAACACCTGCAGGGTTTTCCATGAACTCTGAAGAAGTTCCTACATCTTTCAGGAATTTGCTTCCGTAATTGAGCTGTTTCTTGGTTTCACCTTGTCTATTGCTTTGGGAAAACAGTGATTCTGATCATGAGACAAACTTGGCCATTTATTTGGAAAATTGACTTAGTCCATTGCAATATAGAATGAGTGGTTCTATCATGAGGTATACTAAGAACACAAATTTAATTTTGAATGCATCTATCTGTGGGCATCATGTTTGTTTCATGCAGGATTGGGGGTGGAGGGAGCTTGCCCACCTAAACACTTCAAAAAGAAAATGGCGTACATGTGGCTAAAAGGGAGACTCCCTGGCCACAGCCAAGAGTGTCAGCACCTGCTGTACAAACGTAGTCAGAAGCAGTGTGGGTCTGCACACACATAGTCTGTATGTATAGGCCAACATCTGCATAAGTAAAGAAAGTGAAATGTGAATTTGATATGATGTCTGACCAGGCTGCTAATCCTCCTCTCCATTTTTCAGAGCTGTTGAGTGATTTTCCCAAGACCACTAAGCGAGGATGGGCTAGAACACGGAATCAGACACAGGTCCTCTGACTCCAAGTCTGTATGTGTGTGAGCATGGGCTGCAAGGGGGAGAGGCAGAGGTTGGTTGTTCTGATGCGTTTTCTCCCCACGTTATTTGTGAAGTAACTTGTTTCTTGATCACAATCATTACGTGTTATAACTATATAGTAACTCCACTTGCATTCAGTAGGTTCCCTCTGCCAATTCCATCCAGGAATAGAAAGAGTGATTTCTCCAGTGATGACCATATTCCTGGGTACTAGCTCTCTTCTCCATCTTAGCTCCTCCAATAATGGCCCATTCTGCAATTCACTTTATTAAGTTGGGAGAAGATTTTTATATATAAATTTATATATATGCATCTTTCACCATGTGGGCACCTGGCTCTTTCCTCAGAGGTTAGTGATCAGCGGATTACAGGCATTACAGTTGGGCAAATCAATTTACCAAATACTCCTAGGGACAGAGGAGCCTGCAGTGTTTGATAACCTTTAGCCTTGAGAAAAAAAAGCTGGGGACTGAGAGCAAGTAGTATTGGTACCTTGGGGCAGGGCAGCATTTGTGGAAGAGAATCCGTTTCTTCTGCAAAGCCACAGGTGGGGGCACCACAAGAAATTCTCGTAGGTTTTTAAAATTTTAAATTTTTATTGAAGTATAATACACAGATGAAAGCACAAATCTTACAGGCACACCTCTAAGGATTTTAACTAAGGAACAAAACTATGTTACCAGTACACAGCATTACCAGCTTCCCAGAAGATTCTCTTCCACTCAGTCAGTACTCTCCCACCCCTCAAGGGAACATGAATCCTGCATCTAACAACATAGACTGATCTTCCCTGTTTGGGGACTTTCTGTGCATGAATTGTGTACACTGTATTCTTTCATAGGACATATGAAAGAGTCTAGTTTCTTTACTTCAGTATTATGTTTATGGGATTCTTATGGTTTTCATTCTCACAGCTATGTGAGATCCCATGGTATGGATATCCCACAGTTTACCCATTTTCCTGCTGATGAGCATCTGGGTAGTTTCAATTCGGGGCTATTACAAACTATCATGGACACGTGTATGTGTTTCTGATGGATATACTCCTAGGACTAAAATTACTGCACACTTCCAGCTTTAGCAGTTACTAGCAGTTTTCCAAAGTAGTTGTAAAAATATATACTCCCAAGTGCGGTATGTGAAAGTTCTGTTTCCTCATGACCACACCAACATTTGCTACTATCTTTTTTTAGCCTCATGGTAGGTATGGAGGCGCATG